TTCTTGAACAAGAATTGATCTACTGGAACAGCTATAAATATAAATTGTAAATATTAAGAAACAAAAATGCACAACCATCATAGAATTGAGCCATCATAGATCACAAATATCATCTAATTTAGTGTTTCTTGACTTTGGCAACTTAAAATGTGTAGATTTCAATTCCCAGAATTCCCCAGCCAGCGTGTTTTTATGTTCTTGCATGCTGATATCAGCTCTCCCCTCAATCTTCTTCTTTTTCTCAACTGAATACCTTAAGCTTGTCCATAAACTTGATGCTCTTCGAAGAGTTGGAATGCTGGGTAGAATTTTTCTCTCCCAGTATCTCTGAAGGATATGAATTTAGGGAGTTGGAGGTAAGGAAGAGGGTAAAGAGTGAAAAGGATGAATTGACAGAAATAAATAGAAACCATTACTTAAGTAAAAAAGACTGAATCATTTTTAATACCCAGAATTGATGAGAACTGGATAGCATACAAGTTTAGATGATGGTGATGATGCTGATGATGTTGTCCAGAGATAATATTTGTAAATGGCTCATGCAGACACCTCCCTGATTTTAGTGGACTATATAATAAGGAACAATTGGTAAGCACAATCAAATTTTCAAGATTCTGCTATTTTAGTCAATCTCAGTAAAAGTAGTTTTAGTTTTCATGTGGAGTTCATTTCCTGATCTGGAAATGGAGCTGACGTGCAGAATATGCTTGCACAATACGCTTAGCAACACACATGGTGTGAACCATGGATAAGTTACTTATCCAGTCATCCAATCTCATAAGGAGTGATGTTTTGCATAGCAGCTCATCCCTTTTTATGTTTTTCATATTTATATCTTTAAAAAATTAAAATCCATGCCCCATAAAGCCTAGCAGGGGCAAAAACACAGAGAAAAAGATGGCTGCCGAATAGTTATTCTGCAGCTGCCGTAATCATTAATCTTTGGCTGGAGACAGGAAAAATGGATTGACTTCAAAGTAACCCTGGATGAAATTCAGATGTAGTAGGGAACCCAGCATAAAGTTCTTTATGATTCATCTTAAGTAGAATCAATGATAAAGATATTTGGTGTTAGCTCAATTTTGTCCTAAGGTCTCAATTTGAGTCGCACAGAAGGCATTGATTAGTGTGTGTGTCAGGTGTTGGCTGCAGTAGCATGATGTAACTGCCTTAAACAAGAAGGTGGAACAGGAAACAGCCAGGGCACTACTTCTCCTCGTCTTCCATTCTCCAGAGCTTCAGTGGCAGTGAAGGAGGCCTCCCAAGGAGGAATTATGATTGGTGTTATCTTAGGCCTGAGATTGTAACGTGAGAGAGCAGAAATCTCTTCCCACGGAGTGACTGTTAGAGTAACTGAGACAGAGCATTGATGCCATTATAGATGTTTTGAAGTGTGGTGGCCCAATTCTGATGGGATGGCTGCATTGGAATATAATTATACCTATCCTGAAATTGCTGAATTGGTTCCTGGCTGTTTTCAGGCCCAGCTCTGAGTACTAGTCATTGCTTGGTTTTCCCTCCCAAACATAATAGAAGTTTTTAAAAGAGCAAAAAAAAAGTACATACTAAAAACAACAAAAAGGGTACAAGAAAGCAACCCCCCAAAAGCAACTTCCTAAAAAGTTTATGACAAGTATAAATAATTCCCCATCTCTCCGTGTCCTCTTTCTTAACCCTTGATCCCCAAACCCTTCTCTTAGCAATAGGCAAATCAAATTAAGCAACTTCTCCAATCTGTTTATCAGGAAGACAGAATTCTAAAATATTTAGCTTAATTAACATAAAGTCAACATTCCACATCTTAATTCTTAGCTATAACACAATCTTATTTTAAAAGCATAAAATAGTCCCAATATCTTAATGTAAACGAAATAAAAAAACCCAATTTAATGTAACATAGAGAAACCATTCCTCTTTACATGTGAAAACCCCCAGTACTCAAATACTAATAACTTCCTTCAAAAAAGCCACTCTAAACGCAACATATCCTATTCAAACTTTCTAAATCTTAACTATAAACTACTGTATAAACAAATCCACAATTCACAAATATAAACTAATTTCATTACCCTAACAAAAACAATAGACTAAATTATAACAAAGAGAAATAACTTATCCTTTATAGACAAATGTTCATTAAATTTCTTTACTTCGAATAAAAAAGATAATTAAGTATTATCAAAGCGAAGATTATAAAGGGGTAAAATGATAACTTCTTAACATATAATCAAATTCAGCATGTCATATTTTCCAGTTACAATATCAATAAATCCCAAAAGAGCCACCCAAAATAATAACGTCCCATTTTATCCCTGGTCAAATAATCTGACAATGTGCAAATCATCACTTCTGAGGCCCTTCATGGCATTGCACCGAATTATATGAGGAAACAGTTTTTGCTGATTCAAATCCCTAAAAAGGGTCTGTCTGGGACATTCTTTTTTACAAACTCCATGGGATAAGAATCAGGCTTTTTCAGTGGTGGCCCCCTTTTTTGCACTACCTTACCACCAGAAGTGAGAATGTTCCTTTTTCTCTGTAGTTAGGAAACAGATTAAAACTATTTTAATATAGAAGTCGTTTGAACTCTGTTTTGTGCTGGTATCACTTATTTTATTTTATTATGGTTTTAGTTGTATGTACTACCATAGCTATGCTGTAGCCTAACCAGGATTGATTAAGGTGGGTTGGAAATTCACTAAATAAATAATAGTTGCTGAATGACAATGGGTATTTGTATCATCAAAACAATGGCTTGCATTTTTTTCTTTGTGGGATAAAGAAACTCAGATGACACACTGCAGGCTTTAGTTGTAAGAGTCATCTGAGTATATAGGGCTGAGTATATAGGCCTATACAGAGTATATAGGATTTCATACAAATCTGATTATTTATAATCTTTGTTTCAATGGTGTTTCTATATAAAATAACTCTTTGCATTGTCCCTATTATTTTTCACTGGGTATCTGGCTTTCCCCGATTAGGATCTTTCTATTTTTATGCCAATCATGGGGAAAAATAAAAAGGAAATGATAAAGACCTTATGTCTGACAGGTCCAGCACCAAATCCTCTTCCTAGGAGCGCTAGGATTAGTTTGGTAGATGGAAATAAATAGGAGATTATGAAATTATTGTGATGTCACAAAAAGGAAAAGTGGGGTCAGTGAAAGTGGGAATATATGAAGAGGAGAGATTGTTCCTGAAGTTAAAAAAAACAACAGAGCAGGATGTTGTACTAAGAATGAAATGTGCTACACAAATTTATCCAGGTCACTTAGCAAATAAGAAGGAAAGAGTCCTTAATGCATACTGGCCTATCTTGATCATAAAAGCCACATATTGTGTGTGTGTGCATTTGCTTATTTTTTTTCATCTCTCTTTTTTTTTTTGCCTGAAATGCAGCTGATTGAATGGATTTTCAGTCTAGTCAGTGCAAAATGGATTTTCCTTCTTTTATCTTTATGGCTTCTCTCATCTTGACTGTAAGCTTCCTGGGGTAAGATCTTATCCTGTTAATAAATTGTTAGATATAATGATAGTACTATAAATAATTGCATATTTATAAAAGAGGAATGGTCACATGTTTACTTATTTATTTTTAAAACGTACACTACCATCCATCTCAGAAAACAAGTGACCATATATAGTGGACGTGAACATAAAACTGATTCAGAAAAGAGGATATTAAGATTGGTTCAGTAATTTATAATTTATACCCTGTGCTCTCTATTACATAACATAAACCAATATATTTATTTAACACCTCGTTTAATTCAGTGAATTTAGATTAAGAGTAGGTTACGGGCAAAAATAGTTAGTTGTTTTACTAGTTCTACTCTTTAAAGAAAATTCCCATGAAAATGAGAAGTTCAACCACAGTTGATAATTATAATTTTTTTAAAAAAAAATTCATGTATTCTATTCTTAGGTGGAGCTTCCAGTTATCAGCCATCCAGAATGTTTATCAGGCTAACATCTGCTCACTCCAGCTGCTGGTATTTCCAAACTGTTTAGTAGCTGTTCTTGCATCAACTTTTCCTTTGAAAACTAAACAGTGGGTTTATGAGGTGAGATGAGTGGATTTATCTTGCTAGCAAAGGTAAGTAAAAGCCTTGCATTTTGTTCACCCAATAATTCCCGTGTTGTCTAAAGAGATGCAGTTTTGCAATGCAATTGTTTCTGAGCAAAGAAGCTGAATTCCTGAAAGTGGTTTTTCAGGTTAATACTTAATCAAAGGAAGATCAGGAGAATGGATGTTAAAAGAGGCACACATTAAGGGAGAGCATTGCTAAAACTGCTTGAAAATGGGGGGAGCTTTTGACAGACTTTAGTACCACTTATTACAGTGCTCCAGAACTAAAAAAAAAAAAAGTTGGTATATAGCAGTTCTGACTGGGGGTCAAAGTCCTGGGGCTGTTTGGGAGGCCAAGCCTGTTTATCATGATCAATGGGTGCCAATAGTCAGTGACCTAGTTTATGTATTTAGTAGTTTGGCTAATAATAAGAAGGACTTTCATATGACATTTTCTGAAGGTACCAGATACCAATGATCACAAACTAGCCCTGGGACTCCTGCTAGGTTTTTCCAATGTTGCCTTTGGGCACCCAGACTAATCTCCCTGACTTACATTCAAGAAATTGCTTGGATTCCTTCATGTTCTCCCCGACTCCCAGTCCACCTCTGCTCTAGGCATCCAAGCCATCTTCCATGAATTGCATGAAAGCCCACATGTTAAATGACTGCCTATTTACCCTTGAATAACACTGTGGCTCACCTCAGAAATATGGCAAAATGGTCAAAACAAGGGGTGGGGGGTGGAAATCGGGACATCCCATAATTAGTTTCAGTTTCCCACTAAACTTTTTTCTTGAAGCACCTGCCTCTTTTTTCCAAATCACCTTGCTTTCCTTCACCAGCATTTCCCCAGGTCCAAGAAGAGGTGGTTAAAAAAAAAAATCTACACATACCTCACAGCTGATATCTTCCATGCCCCACTCACCATTTTTCAAAGTTGGCTTTCAGTTCAGCACAGGGGGGCTCCTCTGGGGGAGCATCTGGAGTGCCTTGTCCTTTTGCAGGGACTTCTGGCTGGCTGGGACTCTGTGACATGCTGCAGTTTCTGGTCTGTGTGCTTGAATCTGCCCTGATCAAGGGGAGCGAGGAGCATTCTGGCTGGAGGCAGCCCTGCCCACCAGTCATGCGGGAGGGGTAGACAGATAGGCTGGCTGGGTGGATCTTGGGTATGGGAGATATGCCTCAACAGCCTGCACTGCCTGGTTTAATTTGCAGAGCTTAGTTGGGAGAGGCACCATCTCTCCCACGTGAGGATGGATCTGCTAAGTGGGAAGAGGGGAAAGGGGGGGCATGGATGGTGTCTCTGCCCTGGAAATGGCCACAGTCAGATCCAAGGAGACCAGTCTCTGCAAACAGGAAAAAGAGCTTGCATAGGGAGAAGGTGATCAGCAGATGCCTGCTTGGAATTTTTGTTTTGTGTACAAATTCAGAATAATCAATAGGGCTGAAGCAGTATGGAGGAATGTCAGGCTCCCCAGCCATCATCCCAAAGGAAGCTTATGTTAGCCAATGGGTTGGATTCAGTTAGTGACTAAGCTTCAGTTACAATATGTGGACACATTGTGCTGGGTAATATGCGTGGGGCAGTGTGCAATAACACAGTGCCCGTGGGCCATGTTGTTTCTTATTTCATCTGGTGAAGTGGCGATGGAGAATTTAAGAGTGACTGGAATCATACATTTACCTAAAGAGGAAGAGGGGTCCCATTATATCCCACTATCATGCCAACTGTACACAGAGACCGGAAGGCTGGAATTACTCTATAAGGGAATAGAGTGCCACTCTGCACATGCTCAGATGCTTTGAGGAACAGATCTCTGGCTTTTAATACATAGCACTGAAAGCAAGGTTAGATACTAAGACCAGGGACTGCCTCAGGGAGAATGTGCTAGTGAAATTTTCCATAAACTTTTAACCTGCCTCAGACTGAATCTTTAAGGTTTGGTTGCTTCTGTTTGAGTGTTGCTAAGATCATGGGGGGGAAAAAGAAGAGAATATGAAAGAGAATTTTGGTGCATGGTGGTGATGCCCTGTTAACTCTGAGACGGACAGATGACACCAGACTTTTCTACTATGCATAAAGAGTTGTACAGGTGGTCCTTGACCACAACTGAGCCCAAAACTTTTGTTGTTAAAGAAGTTTAACAAATGACTTTTGCCCCACTTTATGACCTTCCTTGACAGAGTTGTTACATGAATCACCACAGTTACCGTGTTTCTCCAACAATACGGCCTCCCCCAACAGGAAGTCCCAGCAGGTTTTATAGGCATAAAATCAAATTAAGCCCCTCCCCCCAAATTAAGGCCTATATTAAACATGCGAAATGGGGGGGAATAGTGGGAGGGGGCCTTGCTGTTAGGAAGTACTTTTGTTGCATACCCGGATATGGTGCTGCCTGCGTTGACTTCGGTGTTGGTGGGGCACTTTGTATCGGGAGACCTTCCACCACTGTTGCTTTCCCTTCTCCCCTTGCTGCCACGGCGTTTAGAGCAACGGCACAGCATTTGACATAGCCACGCACGGCCAGTCACGGCTCCTCCCTGCAACCAGAGCCTGGTGGAGACAATCAGCTGCAGGCGCTCCGATTGTCTCCACCGCGCACGGTCCTGCCCTGCGGCCCCGGGAGATACGCCTCCCCATGTGGGGTTGGGCTGCCCTCTTGGGCAGGGGAGGCTTTGTCATACCGGTAGTAGGGCATCGTTTTTAAAAGAATTGGCTTTGCCTTCGAAGGCAAAGGGAAGGTGGCGACAGGAGCGCCTGAAGCCAAGTGTCTCTTCTGGGCTCTGGTTGCAGGGAGGAGCCCAGGCTGGTTGCGCATGGCTGTGCCAAATGCTGCGGTGTTGCTCTAAATGCCGTGGCAGCACGGGGAGAAGGGAAAGCAATGGTGGCGGAAGATCTCCTGATACAAAGTGCCCCACCAATGCCGAAGTCAACATCCAAGCCGTCGCCCCCCCCCCGCCCGCCCAAGGATGCAAGGGGGGGGGGAATTAAGTCACCCCCAAAAAGAAGGCCTAGCTGTTTTTGCAGGGGTCAAAAAAAAAATAAGGTCCTGCCTTATTTTGTGAGAAACACGGTAGTAACCCAATTGTGAATCTGGCTTTCTCATTGACTTTACTTGTCAGAAGGTCACAAAAAGGTGATCACATGCTGTGATCTTGGGACACAGCGTTGGTCATAAATATGAACCAGTTGCCAAGCATTTGAATTTGAATCATGAGGATGCTGCAAAGGTCATAACTGTGAAAAACAGTCATAAGTCACGTTTTTCAGTGCTGTTGTAACTTTGAATGGTGACTAAACAAGCTGTTGCAAGTTGAGGAATACCTGTATTTGGGATAGCAGGATTGACCAAAAAAGTTCAGAACGATTGTTATTACACTTATTTGGAAGTTGAGAAAAAAAAAAAGAGATTAAAAAAATGAGGAAAAAAAATGCATAGGTTTGTTCTGCATTTTTATTAGTGGTGTAGCCCCTTTTTCTTCAGGAGCTCAAGATGGCCGACAGAGCAGTCTCTTCTCCCCTCCCCTACGAAACAACCTTTGAGGGAGGTGGGGCTGGGAGGCCGTGATGAAGAGCCCAAGGCCACCCACTGACCTTCAGCCCCACCTTCTCTCCTTGCCCTTGAAGCACAGGTGGCTTGTGGCCAGAGCCTTCATTGTATCTATAGGAGTTATGAATCTGGTGGTCTTAACATACATATATCCTGGTTGTACAGTTTTTAACTGTTATTTGTTTTAATTTGTTTTACATTGTTATTTGTATATGACTTTTGGTGTTGTTCAGTTGTATGTTGTGAAAGAGCACCTTATTTCGTTGTTCTCAGGTTTCTGAGTACAATGACAATAAATTTATCTTAATCTTAATCTATAGGAGTGAAGGATGCCACCCAGGAGAGATAAGAGGCTTTGTGTTCATAGCTTAGCCCTGATGTCTTTGGGTATGTAAGGATTTTTAAAATTGGTTAATCGACAAATTACGTGGGCGGATCTGGCAGCATCGCAAAATCTTCGTGCCTACTGAGTATTAAGACTGATTGAATTCAGTTACTCCCAGGGACATATGCAGAGAACTATCATTCCATGAAGTTTAACTCTATAGTTAAAGGGATGTGTACTGCAAAGATTGCTAACGAAGGTAGTCCTCAACTTACAGCAGTTCATTTAGTGACCATTCAAAGTTATAGTGGCACTGAAAAATGTGACTTATGAGTGTTTTTCACAGCTACGACCTTTGCAGCGCCCTCATGATCACATGATCAAAATTCAGAATCGTTGGCAACTGGTTCATATTTATGACTGTTGCTGTGTCCCAAGGTCATTTGATCCCCTCTTGCAACTTTCTCACAAGCAAAGTCAACAGGGAAGCTATGTTCATACTAATTTATTAACTGCTTATCAACTATGGGTTACTAACTTATCAATTGCAGTGATTCACTTAACAACTGTGGCAAAAAAAGTTGTACAATGAGGCAAAACTCATTTAATGAATATCTCACTTAGCAACAGGAATTTGAGGCTCAATTGTGGTGGTAAGTTGAGGACTACCTGTATTCAATTCAATCCAACATTGTGCACAACTTTGTCTTAAGGTTGAAGAGAAAATATAAATATTCAATGGCATTCAAATAGCATCATCATCAACAACGACTACATAGAGAAAACTTGTAAGCAATTAACAAACCAAATAAAATAAATAAAACAAAAGCTTTAGGAAACATATTTTTGGAATGTATTTGATCTGACCTTATCCATTATTTGGAAGAATGGACATTGTAAAAAAAAATAGCTTTAGGAAATGAGAGAAAAAAGACAAATAAAGCAGGACAGTGTGAATTCATATGGTCAACATCATTGTACTTGTCCAGGAGAGTGTGTGTTACATAAAAGTGCCATGTTTTCATTTCCCCTTTGACTCCTGGCCAGAGAAGGAAATTTAACTTTCATAGATTGTTATTTTCTAAATGTGGGTCTGTGCTGACCTCTGGTGGTCAGGGAACAAAAATATAACATTGTAAATGATTCTAAAAAATATTTAATCAAGTATTCAGAAAAGCTTAACTTCTGGTGATATATGGATGTTGGTGGTGGGAATTATTGTCTTCTTTAAAAAATATTAGGAATGGAGTTGTGGGTACAAATATGTTCAAAGTACAAGAATACAAATATGTTCAGTGTATCAACATGAGGATATTAATTCCAGTTGCAGTAGTAACTATAGAATTAGTGACGAGGATCCCACAAAGTGCCTCAAAGTTAACCAAATACTGTAATGAAAACTTTCTCAAGGCTATGTTGAAGGGGAATATGGTTTGAAATTTCCCAACTGAGATTTCAAATTTTTAGTATTATTAGCTGCTTAGAGTCATATTTATTTATTTCTTAAATCTATTTGCTGCCTATCTCACTATGGGCTACTCTTTTCACAACTTGAAATGGATAGCCATATAAATCTATCAAATAAATGTATTCATGTATTAGATTTAAACTTTTTTCATTTAAGGGTACAAGATGGCACAGAGAGCATTCACTTTCTGCCCAACTGCCACTACCTCAGTAAAGAATGTAGGCTAAAGTTAAACTCAAAGACTATAAACCATAATTGAGGCTTAAGTTGATGTCATGGTTTGTACAACATGCAGAGTCTAAAACTGAGTCACAAACTTATTTCAGTCTAACATTTTTGTGTAATCCAATTGTTCAGTTGAAAGAGTCATTAAGAAGCTACACTTCAGACCTTTAAACCATTTTTGAAATATTTTTAATGTTACTTTTGTACAGTAGCAGCATTTCACTAGAAATGAGAGTTCAATGTAAGATCAACCATTGGAAGAGGAGTACAAGAAAATGCAAACTGAACACAAAAAGAGAACAGCTACATTTTGTAGTGAAACTTTGATGGTTATAGGAACTAGATATTAATTCCAGTATTACCTTACTCCAGTATAGTTTATTCAGGATGTCAGCCATAGTCATAAAGACTTAGTAGCTGTATTCATATAAAATGCTACTTTATTTTAATTTTTTTAAATGGCTAATACGTTGAACAAGCCCACCCATTTGATAAATTCAATGTAGTGAGAGAATGCATTAATTAGCTTAATTCATGAACTAGGCTGAGAGTGTGTGAGAACACAATCGTTAACCTGGCTAGAAGATCACTTCTGGGATTTGTGTACTACACGGAAGTGCATCTGGGATAGGTTC